CTACCTGACGGGCGGAGGTTGCTGACGCCGAGTACCGTGGATGCTGACGGGCGGGGGTATCGGGTGGAGGGCGAGTACCCGACCGGTGGCGCTGGAGGTTGGATGGGTAGCTGACGGGCGGGAGTTGGGGGAGGTCGGGTGGAGGTGACAGATATAGTATCTGACGGAACCAAGCTGACGGGGACAGATAGTATCTGACGGGCGGAAACCTCTAACCTCTAACCAGTACGTATCTGACGGGGAAAGATAGCATCAGGGGGATGGATTCTAACCAGTCTCAGAGCATCTGCACAATAGATGGCTATGGAAGTGCTACTAAAAGGCACTTCGCCAAGCCAAGCGTGAAACACTAACCTGGAAGCCTTCTAACCAGTGGGTACCTGATAGTATCTGACGGGCGCAAACCTCGGACCTCTAACCAGTGGGTATCAGAAGAGGGTTAGAGTAAGAGGCTATGTCAGGTGCATAATAGGTGTTTGACTGCATCAACCCAACAATGCCCCATGGTAGCTTGCGTCTGACTTTGCCGCTGCCACATGAGCCTTTAGTCCTTGGAGGAAGCTGCCAGAACCTACCTGGCGGCCTCACTCCCACCGCATACCAAGCTCTTGAAGAGTTAGCTTACGTCTAGGGGCCTTCTGCTCCTGCTCAGAAGGCCTGGCATGCATAACTACCCAGATCGCGCTAAGAGGCCGAACATTCTCGCAGACCCAAGAACGATGGCGCTGCTCCACCAGGAGGCTGGACGCGAGGAGACACTCTCTCCAAGTTGTAGCCATCCCTAAACTGGTGCCTTTTTTGCAGGACTGACAGGCCACCGAGACACTCCAATCTCATCTAGACATGTAGCCTTCGCAGCAGACTGGAAATCCATTCGCTTGCCAGCATCAAATCTATGGTACCGAAGACGAACGCCAAAACACATCATACTTGGGAGACTAGGCCAGTCTTTCGGGCATCCTTGCAGCGTAGACATGACAACCCAAGAAAGCTAAACCTATAGATAAAAGATAAAAAGTAGGTTCTAGACGACTGGGAACTGAGGCGAAAGATCATCGTCCAGCTTAGTTGTTTGCGTCTCTGCACCTTGAATCACTACAACTTGCGGACCTTCGTTCCTTCGTCCCACGGCGTGTTCAAGAAAGCTACCTCCTTGCAAGACATCTACTTCCTTGCTTACAAGCCCCTACCATCTGAGCTCTGACCTTGGTTACACTTTGCGGGCATGCCTTTTGAGCCGCTCCTTGCTACAGGGCGTAGCCGCCACGGCGGCGACGCAGAGGAGTGCGAACCAGGCCATGTATAGATGACTTGCCCGTGACTACTGAATCTGCGTGTCCATGCAATGCTCTTCTTCGAATTTCGGTTGGTTTATGCCCCCACTAGGCGGCCGGCTAATGCGCACATGTCTGCTGTCTTGGTGCCTCAACGTGGCTGGCCGAGTTTAAACGCAACAGCCAGATGTTCTCCTCGGTGGGTTCACGGAGCTACCAACTTTCAAGACAGAACTACTCAGAGCCACCATCTCTTCGCGCCCCTAACGAAAGTTTCGGGATGAGCGAGGAGCTGGTCAAAAGTCACAAGTTCAGAGTTTGCCCGCCAATGTGCTACATGCGTGCTTGCGTGCACTTGCTGCGGTTTTTGCGAAGCTCCAGCCGAAACATCAAGCGGGAACATAGCACAACAAACTCCGCATGCCGATACATTGGGCTTGGACGGCTTGGACTCGCTATTCGACGCAGGCGACTCATGAAGAAACTCCTAATCTCCAAAACTACTGCTTTCAGTTGGCATCCCACATCCACTGTAGCATGGAATCGCAAGAGAGGCCATGTCGATGCAAGTCAGACCACAGCTACCGCTTGAAGTCACGATTCACTTGGGATTTGGAGGCGACTCTGAGGGCAACTTTTCCTCTCTGTGGAACGGGCACCCCTCATCGTGCTGCACAATCCATCGCCAGGTGAGGTTGACTCGATATTCCTGAAGGAGGCAAAGGCATCTGGAGCAGTGAGCTCGATCACTTCGTCAACAAACAGAGGTGCGAGCCAGATGAGGACTGAAGCTGAGCGTTACAGAAATGCTTTGGGATCTGCATCGGTCAGCCTCTCCGCTGCTCAATCACAGGAGTTCGACCATTCTGCAAGTACAGCTGCCAAACTCTGTCTCTGAGAGCGCTGCCGAAACATCCTCCTCCGGGGGAACTCGGTGCCGGTAGTGCTTTTGGCCTCAAAATAAGCGGATTGTGTTAGTAAGCTATCCGTCTGTTGTCAATCAAGATGACAGACAGGTCCTGCGCTTGTGGATGCCGGTACTGAACGCAAGGTCTTTCTCTTGCTGTTTCAGGCGCGGCGGTCTAGCCGGGATAAGTCCCGGGCAAAGGCCCTCCATGGTGCAGAGATCACCATCCTGGCGATGAGCGAAAGTTTGCACTCCGATAAACTGCGACGACACGGCTGCTCCTCACTTGCGCTTGACTTGCGTATACTTGACAGGACACGACGAGCAAACCTGCAGCCACGAACTCGAACCTCCAGTTGGAGCAAAGTTTCCTCAAATGGATCGTCCTTTGGACGAAGGCAGAAGGACCTGAAAGCGCCGCAAGCGGACAGATCCCTGCCGAAGAAGCCGTGTTGTCAGATAGGTACATTGCCGCAGTGCGACGGTGGCGTTGGAATGCCGGCATGGGTAGCAGTTTGCTTTGGCACTGGCAGAACCTCTAGTGATTCCGCGGCCTGGTTGCACCCAGCGATAGCGAGATGATGAGTGCATCTCGGCCTTAAAGAGACGAGTCTGTTGCAGCCTGCTGCATGTTCCTACGAAAACCTGGCCCACCTGTGGCATCGAACAGCGGCTCATCGTCACAGTGCCAGCTGACCTTGGACGAAGCTTTTCAGCAGGCTCCAGCAACACTTCAACACCCCATCCCTCACCCCATCTCGCTTGGATGAACACACCAATGGCATGAGACTCGCAACTACTCTTTGTTACCAACGATGCGGTGACGATCGGAGCTTAGGGACCGATAAATTCGTGTGCACTTCGCATACAGCCGTTGAACCAGTGAATCGAGCATGTCGCGTTGTCCATCCCGCCCTTGTACAGGTTGGCGTTGCACGAGTTTGGGCGCTCCTGCAAGCGCAGTGTTGTGGAAATATAAGGAGCAACTTGGCGGCAAATCACAACCTGCGACACAACCGAACCAAAGTGTGAAGAGAGCCCTGTCTTGCGCTAGCCTTCCTGCAAGAAAATGTTGAGTTTTTCAAAATATGCAGAGTCAGCCCCACCCCTCTGTCGACAACCATGCTACTAGGAAAAGACACTCTTTGAAGACGTATACCTGTTGCAGCTAAATGAAGTGTTAACATTATATCATGTGCGCAAGTCGTCTCACTCACTATGCGAGACAGTGGGCGTTTGACTGCGACACCATGCTGCTTTGCCGCAGAAGTGGACAAGATAGAGCTGTCGCTTGCAACATCTACAGTAGGCATGCAGCATGTCCTTGAGTCCGCAAGCTTGTGCCACCTGGAGTTGCAACACTGTCCGAGAGAATATACGCAGTCTGCAAGGACACCTCTGGAGCCCTCTTCGCATGCTTGCACACCCTGTTTATGCAATCTCTATAGACACTGTCTATGGAGATTTGTCTCAGCGCATGCATGTAACACTGTCCGTGTATATACGTACGCATGTCTGCATGTTCTATGCAGGTATGTGCGTATACACATTATGAGTGCAGCTCTGTTCTCGCACGGCCTGGTCCGTGATCTCCAGGAACCACGGAGGCATCGTCGCGGCTGGAAACCGAAGGCCCGCATACTGCAAAGTAGTGGCTTCATTATCATCTTCACAGCTAGTACCTTTTTCAAACCACGTTTGAGGCGGGGAGTTGCAGCAACAACGTTCGTGTTTGCACCTGGTACTCGCAACGGCAGCCCGGCAACGTCAGCCAGGCTGCTGAGCGGGGCAGCAGCGCTTCGCAAGGCGCATTCTGCTCCTTGCCTCTGCACCATTCTAAGAAGCTCAAAAGATCTTTTGCAATGCAGCTCGTCAACAGCCTCTGAGGGCTAAATATGCGCCTTCTTTCGGAGGCCGCTCTGGCTTCCGCCAGCAGATGCGGCTGAGGAGAGTCTGCCTCGCAAGCGAGGACCATGTCCGTTTCAGAAAACAAAGCCGGAGAGGGACTTGCAACTCTTGCAAGAGCGGTCGAGTTGGCACCGCCGCCCCTCCTGACCTGGCCTCGCAAGGCTTCGACTAAGCTAGATCTCCTGAACCGACATGAGCTTTCGAGTATCTAGACGTGTGCACCGAACATGTTCGCGGAGTCCAGGAAATGGGCCTCCACTGATGCAGAGTTGAAGCTGGAAAGGCCTGCGCCGGAGCCATGCTATTCCCGAGAAACCACTGTGTAATGTGGAAACTGAACCAAACAAAAACCAAGTCCACGTCCTGGCAAGCGTGCCCAACTGAACAAAGGAATGGTGTCATTCGGACATTGCTTGCCTGTTTTGCACCGAGTGCAGCTATTGCTTGTCTCACAGGTGCAGGAGAGACAGCCGGTGCTTGAAACCCACTGCACTTTCTTTTGCCAGAGCTCCGTGGCCCACGGCATGCGCGGAAAGCCTGCTTGCGATAGGAGACGAAGCTACGTCGATGAACGTCATGTAGAACCTCTGGAAGGGTGCAATGCAGCGCCTAAAGCCCGGCTTCGTAATGCGACGCCTTCATCATGATCTCAGATCTCATCATAAGTTTATCATAGCACGTGCGCTCTCATCTCACGGCCGATCTAAGACTGCGGCACATGCCCAACCATCGCATACTCGCGCCAAAGGCCCGAGGACACCACCACCCCAAAGCGCTCGTTCCTGGCGCGAAGGCAAGGCGGTGCAAGAACTGTCGACCGTGGTCTCGGCCGATGGTTCACTTCCAGCACAAGACGTGCTGATACAAGTAAACTGCTTGCACTGGCAGGGCATGGCAAGGCTCCATGGCTCCTCCAGTGTCTCTTCAGGTGGAGGCAGCGGCCTTCTGTGCGTGTTCGGGGTCAAACAGCGAACTCGTGCATCTGTGAATAGCGTACCTAGTTCATCCTATCTTTGCTTTCGAAGCCTCCATCCCCCGCAGCATGACTCAAGGTTTGTGGGCATGGGGCTGTGTTTGAGTAGTGTTCGCCGGGCCTTGTCATGACGTGTCATGCTCTCACCACGCAGTACAAATGCGGCAGTATCAAGAGATTTGATACCGACCTGAGTACGTTGTGAGTACCAAGTTCCGAAGCCAGGTTCCGGGTTCTAAGGCGAAGACTTCATCCGCCCTGACCCCGCCTCATCGGACCAACCCTCCAGCAACTTTGATGCCAACAAAGCCAACAAAGCAGGGTGCCCGGAATCCACCCAACATGCCCAAGTCAATCCAGAACCTAACCGGAACCAGTGCTTGACTTGGCATTTCCAGGCGAGGACGGCCGAGAACTGAAAGCTGACCGAGGCCGCAACTTCTTCTTCAATGGTCGGGGCCTGGGCTACGCAGGCACGAAAGGTTGGGAAACGGAGCAGTTCGGGGCCGAATCTCAGCACATTTGAGCATTCGAACCGCTCGCAATTCGGCAAACACCAAACCTTTACCAGGGTCTTTGCTTTGTCCGCTTTCGCTTTCCTCGCCGGCGGCGCCGCCGGCGTTTTCCATCAGGAGGCAGATCACCTTGTGGCACAGGGTTTGCTAACGCGAGATCGAACAGACGATGTCCGACATCTCCCGTTGAAGATACGGTCAGATCAATCAACCATCCATGCCCATCTGCACTGGCTCAACATGAGCTGAGCTGCTCTGTCGTAACACACACCCTAGACGGCGAGTTGTGGATTGTCTGGAATCGTCTGGAAACGGTGTTGCCAGTGTTCTTTTTTTCAAGGGTCGACGCTTGACCCTTGCTTTGACGTGGAGGTCGCATCGTTCCAGCGATGTGACGACACATCCTTCCATCTGGCTCCGGGAGTCAGCTTGCGCTGAGAGTTTCGGGCCTCCTGTCGAACTCGCCCCGCTCAATCGCAAGCTCGAGGCAAGACAAGGGCAAGGACGTGCACAGTTGCCCCAAGTGCACTGTCCAGCCCTTTTTTTCCTACGCACTGCCGCGGTTCGCCGACACGCAGTGATTGCAATCCTGCTCGTTGTTTTGCGGATCCAGGCAGACGGAGCAGACGGGTGAGAGCGATACCCTTCTTTGCCCTTTTCAAAGAGAGACTTCGTGCTCTCAGCTCTCAGATCACTCAGTCTTAGAGTCTTACAGGCTTGACAGTGCCAGATGGTGCGCTGTATGAAGAACTTGTCCTGAGAACGCAGCAGTCCGAAGACGACGTCATGCCGTCTTCGAAGGTGTCCTCCTCACAGCTCACACAAAGCCGTGCTGCGAGTTCCTACCCGTGCCACTGAGGTATCTGGCGGCTGAATTGCAACACGGTACCCCGCGTGCAGAATCGAACCCGTCCTGGGACTGGAGTTGTGCGCTTGTTGCGCAGGGTCTGAGAGGGTGCTGGATGCCTGCTGCAGATCATTCACGCTACCGAGCGCACAGCTTGTCCCGCTACTAAACCTCACTGCAGCTCAATTCGCAAGTTTTGGATTGATAACTTCCTGACGCGCAAAGCAGAAATAGCTGAATAGCTCAGCTGACACAACCCCGGGCATGCCGTGCGTGGCTGCGCCTGACCCGTCGGGAGCGGCAAGACTGACAGGATGCCTCGCTGAGCTGGCTGAACATTTCCAGGAACCGAGGCTCTGCCAAAAGATTGCCGACACCGAGTCTACAATAAGGAGTGTGAACATGAGAACGTCTGGAACAAACCTGCAACCAGTCTGAGTCGTCTCTCGCAGATTTGACATTGAATTCCCCGTCCATGCACCAGGATGCTTCCACCCGTCTAATATATCAGAGCCACATATCATGATCATGTAAACTGCACAGTTTTGGCCGGAACACAAGCTTAAGCTGTCCTGGCGAAAAGGAAACACTTCAACTTCCATGTGAAGACGCCGAGCTCGACCCACGATCTAGCATTCTAGGGATGATCTAGGGCCATCCAGGGTCTGCACCGAAGAGTCAGGGCGTGCAGTGGGTAGAGCAGCTCCATGGGATGCACCGCCTGGATAGGGGCGGGGGTTCGCAGTCAGGCTGCCATATCTGCCATCAACAAAGCCACTGGTCGCACTTCGAGCATACAGCTACGCCAAATGCGTAGATTGCTGAGACATGCATTGCAAAGCTATGCCAGCTCCCAGCTGAAACTGGCGAAAAAAAGGTGATACCACCTTCAGCACCAGACAGAAAACTCCCCTGAACAAGGCTGCTGTCATTGGTTTAAGCAAGGAGCAGGAACTTGACAGCCGTGGTAAAGCTGGCACTGGCCTTGGAGCCTGGGCCATCCACTACCGGGGCTTGTGGTAGCAGTAGAAGTAGCGTGGTTGCTGCGGAAGTTGGCTATGAGCAGTGCTGGCAGTGGCAGTGCCAGTGGCAGTGCCAGCGGCAGTGGCCGCAGCAGTAACGGTAGCAGTAGCAGTAGCAGGAGCAGTAGTGGGAGCAGGAGCACGAGCAGCAATAGGAGTCGTCGTCGTCGCCGTCGCCGTCCTCGGCCTCGTGAAGTCCGGTCTCGCCTCCAGACCCCTCCGTCCCCTGCCATCCCCAAGCCCGATGGCGCGAAGACACTGATACCCCACAGTTGCGGGATGTTGTGGGTACTGGACTTTGGATGGCATGTGCATGGAGTCCAAGATGGAACTTCTCATGCCACGTAAACCTGAAAGGAGAACAGGGCATCGACGTAAGTGCTGAGACGCTCACAAAGGGGACAGGAGCCAAAAGAGTGTGAACAAACCGAAAGTGGTAAAACAGCAAAGCAAGCGGCGGCGTGGATGGTCGCTGTCCGTGGAAATTGGGATCGAACCTGCAGCGGGGAAACCCTTCGTGAGAATTTCAGCTTTAAGCGCCCCTACACTTTGCCTGCACTGAAATACACACCTAGCTGTTAACTGTTCTTGACCAAGGGGATGAGGATCTAGGAGGATCTAGGCAACGGAAGCGGCCTGGCATCAACTCCACAGGAGCCACGCAAAGGTGTAGGGGTGGTCACGCGCATGCAATCTAGGGCAAGAAACTGAGTGGCCGCACTGAGCATACTGCCAGCTGGCTGGAAATGCGAAGGTACGGGCCTGGGAAGACCTGGGCTGCTAGGCTGATAGATCGCGAATCGTTGAAACTCTACCACGCCTTTTGCCTGGCGCGCCCGGCCTCTAGATGAAAATCGATCACACGCCAAAGTCCCGAGGACAGCTTCGCTGTTCCGGGTTGCTCGGGCCTTCGAGGCCGTGAGAGCCTGTCGGCTTTAGCTCACGACCCTGCAAGCGAGCGAAAAGGAAGTCTTGTGCTTAGCGTTGTCGTTGCGACTTCGTGGGTTCCAAAGAGGTCTTCTTAAGCCTATAGGGCCTAGGTATGCCGGAGTTGTTCAGGGATGTTCAGAGCCGGAGGAATGAAGTCCCCTGCTTCACCAGTGCAGTCCAGCTGCCAGTTCTCCATAGGAGCGGCCACACAGGGTACCTGGCTTCTAGGCCAAATCCGAAAGCCTCGACCCGCTTCTGGGATGCTCTCGGCCCCTAGGCACCCGAGACCGTCGTGGCATGCACTTGGCAAAAAGCAGAGGGATTCCTGGCTTTATTTCTGACCGGGGCCCTCACGGATCACATGGGATTGAGCATCTAGACAGCAGGCGCTGTCCACACTGTTGTGTGTTGGCGGTGGCAGGCTTTGCCTAGAAAAGGTTCTCCGCGTTCAATAGTGGGACTGCTCAGGGCTTGATCTCGCTGCTTCTCGCAAACCGTAGGATGAATCTGTTCTAGAAGTCTGCAGCACTGCTGCATCTGATGTTGTGAGCAAAGTGCAGTTACAAGATCTTTGCTGATCTTTACGGATGCGTAAGCCCAATACACGATGCCTGGAAGTGCCAGTGAGCGCTTAAGCCCCAGCAATGGGAATGCCAACAGATGCGTTGATGAGGACGACCTTCAATCGCGTGAATGAACAGAAGCCTGTTCGATTGTAATGAGTCTTGCAGACTTGCCCACTCCGTAGATGCATCTTTTCTGTCAGCGCAGTTTTGCGGCAGGTAGAGGTTCGGTCCCCAATGGTGACAAGGAACAGCTGCATTGTTAGACAAACTGCGCTTCTACTGTGTTCTCCTGTACTTCACCATGGGGGGGCCAATCCTAAAGCGGCACGGAGCCAGCTTTCGGCTCGCAGTGCCCGTGGGTCATTAGCTGGCAGGGTTCCTGCCTGGAATGGTGCGAGCGGGGAGCATCTCGGCTTCTATTCCATTCCATCCCTTTCCCCCTGCGGTTTGCCATTACCAACTGGCCATTTTTGAGACTTCCGACGACTGTCCCTGGACGGTGGCGCAACTCCTCAGTTTGAGGAAGACTGCTTTGTCGCCTGCAGCGTGCAGGCCAATTTCCCAGAAACCAGAATCCGTCAGCATCTGAAGCCTTCGGCAGCTTCATCGGTTGAGGCGTGGCGGCTTCATCCCGCGAGCCTGAGAGGTGCTCTTACTGGTAATCAAAAAAGGGCTTCATGTTTCGGCCGACTTCATCATGACAGATGCCAGAGAACTGAATCATGCACTGAATCCTGGAGCTGGACTCGAGACGAGGGTTGTGAGTGCCAGGACTGTCCGGATATGTCCGGATTCTGAGGATGCTGCGCTGCCGTTAGGCGACTTCCCCAACTGGCAACAAGAAAATGGTTGCCTTTCTAGGCTGCAGACTTTGCTCAACTTTGCAGGTGCCTGGAAGCTTGGTGCCGCAGAGGCTGCAGACATGCCAGACCTCAGCATGCGGCGGATCTGGGCTGAATTGCTGACTGTGCATGGCTCAGAGATCTCAGAGGTTCCTGGCGGACTGTTCTCCACGGACTTGTTGTCAGTGGGTGCCGATTTGCCCGCCGTCCAGTCTACCACCTGGCCCGGCCCCTCTTCGAAGCACCGCGACGCCGCGACGCGCCGCGACGCGCCGCGACGCCGCGCCAGAGCTCTGGCCTGGTCTTTCATCAGCGTCTTCACAACCGCGAGGCCCATGTGCCTCGGCCCAGGATCTGCAATGCTGTAAGATCTGTAAGCATAGCTCCCAAGTCTTCAGGCGCAGGTCTTAGAAATTCGTGTTCCATGTCTGTGCTCAACCCAAAGTCGCGGGATCCGCGTGAGAGAGGCAGTTCTGCATCGCCCTTCCGCTTTTCAGGAAGGGCTCAATTGAACGTATTGGGTGAGGGCCAAAGTGCGTCCAGCGCTGCGATGTGTTCCGATTCTACATGTGGCTAAGTACACCTGCAAGCTCCAGGTATTCGCGATCATGTCGGCAAGGAAACTGGTTGCTTGCAGGATAAGGCGCAGGCTGTAGCGTCACGATGTCACCTCCGTAGAGTCCGTTGGGCCTCGTCTGCATGACCGAATCGACAATGCTTCAGCGGAGCTACCGGTACCAATTGCCAAGGCTAGCCGGCGGTCCTAAGGCCAGAACGCCGGATCCAAGGTGCCGGTGGCTGGGCCTGGGTTGAAGGCGAATAGAAGCTGATCACTGCCACAGGGAAACACGGCAAACTAAGGCTCCAGTCGGAAGCAATCAAGACTGGTGACTGGATGTCATGAATACGATTGAAGCATTTTTGCGGAACTGGTTGCCTTGCCAGCTGCGTCTGCTTGCGGAAAGAACAACATCGGTGTCACAAAAAAAGACACCTTGAACAGGCTTTCGCCTTGAATCTTTCAGAGGCAATGCATTCCTTACGTAAACACCGCTGTAAATCATAAGCTCTCCCTGCACTGAGGAGCAGGCAAGCATCTCCCTCATACTGAAAGCAAGAGCGGCTGGCCTGCGGCGTACGGTTCTTTGTCGGTTCTTTATTGGCGACGACCAGGGCGGGTGTGCAAGCGTGACCGAAACGACAAACTATCCCCTATGCGAGTGTGCAAGAGTCGGGTGTCAAAACCCTTGGTCCAAACCATTCCCGGAGGAAACAGGAGCGCTGATCTACGTTTCCCATGAGCCCAGAAGGATATGGTTCCTAAACTAGGAAACCCTACCCCGACTTGAGGGCCGTAATATGATCCCAACATGGAATCCCCATGTCCCTTCTTTAATCGGCCCCTACTATCCTTCTAACTATGTAGATAAACCTGTATTACAATCTGTTTGTAATATTTTGTAATATCGTACGGTATGATGTTGCATGCATGCATGTATAGCCAGACAGAGAGACAGACGGACGGACGGATTGACAGACAGGCGGACGGACGGACGGACAGACAGACAGACAGACAGACGGACAAACAGGCAGGCACACAGACAGACAGACAGGCAGACTGACAAGCCCCATCGAAACGTATCAAGGCTTTTACCCAGAAGCGCAAGGTTGGCCTCCACGCTGGCGATGAACAGAGATCGAACCGCGGAGTTGGATATGCTCGGATCCTGCGCCCTTGGTTGATAAGTCGCTCACACTGCCAAGCAGGAGTGGAAAAACAGCTCGAGAAATCCGAGTTCATCGCACCCACATGACTTGAAGAATGTCCAGCAATTCCGGGTGAAAAACTAGGTAACTTCCCGCAAGGGCCAAGCTGGATGAGGCCCTTGAAATCCGCGTAATTCAGCCGGCAAACGCGCTCGTCCTCGAAACACTTTCTTGAGTCTGACAGGAATCACGTGCCAACAGGTAGTTTCTCCCAACATGTCTGGCTACATCTAGCTTCCTTGGCCGAACTTAGCACATGATACCTGAGAGAGAAATCCTGAGAGTGGAAAAGAGATGTCTGAAATTCCGCAGGCAACGGCTACCAATGCCAACTGCTTGCAATGAATGTCTTCGGTTGCCTGCATGCCACTTTCCGTAGCAGCCAAGCGTTTGGTTTACACTTTTCAAGAAGGAACTTGGAGTTTGTTGGCAATTTGGACGAGGAGAGCATCCAGGAATCACGAAATGAAGCCCCGTCTACAAGCCACTGCAACAAGAGAATGCAATTGCTGGCAGTGCAGGGGCCTGGTTCTTGTCGTCAATCTTATGATTGCCTGCGTGCTCCCGCAGGCACAATGCCCCACAGGATGAACAGGTGAGGCTGCTCAGCTGCCGACGGTATATCTTGCGAAGGCCTTCCACACCTTGGCCATCAAGTGTGACGTCTCCCAGCTCTTCCGCTATCCACAGACCCCGTCCAAGAGTTCGGGCCTAATGGCCTAATGCTTGAGATGAGATTAGACACACTTACCCCTGCACTGCAGACACATCCCAAACCTACTTCAAGCGGAACAGGTTCAATGTGCTGCTGGTACGAACAAGCCGACCAAGAAAACAAGAATGGGCGAAGTGCAGTATTCCTTTTCGCAGATTTTTGTCTCCATGTGAAACGCTGGCTGTCTAACCAGGATGGGCAGAATCTACCGATCATCGCAGCAGAATTGGTCAGGCCTTGGATGCTACGGTAGGTTAACTTTACATAACACTTGGTCGTGTTCGAACTTTCATCCGATGCTTTTGCGAAGCCGCCTGCCAGAGACGTCACGGCCCAAAAGAAAGCAGGCGCAACTGCTTAGTCATGGGTACGGACGATATCAGAAAACAAATTCGAAAACGGATCGGACGATATCGGAAAACACCGGACCAAATCAAAAAACAAAAATCGGAAAACTGAAAGCCGAGATCAAAAAACGGACGCAGGAAAATCATCAAAACTGGGCGGACAATATCAGAAAACATGACGAACCAGATCAGAAAACAGGGCGATCGACAATCAGAAAACAGACAAACAAAAGGCAAAAAGAGCCACTGCAATGGCATGACGGGCTAGCTTGCGTGCGAATTCCCATGTTGTTGGAGACCACACTTCTGTACAGAAGCGCCGCTCTACATTGCTCGATTTGTGGCCAAGACGGACGGGTGAAAGAAGCGCAGCCTTCCTTCACCTTTTGGTTTGTGGCCAAAACCAAGGGGTGAAGGAGCGCGGCCTTCCTCCACCTCTCGGTTTGTGGCCAAAACCGAGCAGTGAAAGGACCGCGGCCTTCCTTCACCTGTCGGTTTGTGCAAAACCGAGGGGTGAAAGGACCGCGGCCTTCCTTCGTTTGTGGCCAAAACAGAGGGGTGAAAGCTTCACCTCCCGGTTTGTGGCCAAAACAGAGGGGTGGTTACACCCATTGTTCTGATTTTCTCTGTCCTGTTGGAACCTGATTCTTGTTTTCCGATTCTGTTCTGGCTGCGCGATTCTGTCCGGCTGTTTTCCGACATCGCCCTCCTTGGTTTCCGAACTTGTTTTCCTGATTTCGCCAGTTTTTTTCCCGATACCCTCTTCACTCTTAGTCAAGGATTCATTTCATCGATCTGTGACTGCTCCAGGTTGTCATGCAAGTGTATCATGATGAAAACCTGCATGCACTCTGAGTACCTGCGTTGCTTTCGCGTGTTTAGTTTGGGCTCACCCCAGCCAGATTTATCGGACGTCGGGCGACCGCTGCACAGTGCCTGTTCCATTGCAGTCTTTGACAGCTTTGGATTCACAGGCAATCTCGCTGATGCGCCTTGCTCAGGGTACCACACAGGCCGCTCAATGCCTGAGAATAATGTTGAACATTGAAGCCTCCAAAGATTTTGGGGGGGTTGCCACGCCAACCTCACGGGTGAAACAGATCCGTTCCCGGACAATTGCTCGTCACTCAAGGCCCTGCGAGCACAAAGGCAATCTCTCCGGTAGGAACGCGGCACTTACTCATCAATCCGCCTGACTGCTGGTGCTCCGCAGCACCTGCTCGCGACACTGCCGCGGCGGACGCAGATCCGGAAAGCGTGCCTCGGAAATATCGCTCAGTGGCAATCAGCTTACTTCAACTGCACATGAAGACACTCCTTGCGATGCGAGACTTGAGCTTGAGAAAGCACACGGACGGTTTGAGGCTTGTTATGGGTTGTTGGAATGTCCTCTATTGCTTCCAACTCTGACAAGTGAGGCCGTGCGCCTGCGCGCAACGGAAGCACAGCTCCACCTGCACGAGGCGGATGGAGGCGGTAGCTGCTCTTGGCATACCCCCCCCCCATCCTCGCCGCGCAAACACATGCTACTTAGCAGCCAGTAATTTGCATTCATTGACGAGCAACCCGACCTGACCTGAAGAGCAAGCTCCCTGCTGCCGCTGAGCATTATGCATTGAGTATCAATGCTGGCTTTTGGCATTCTGCGAAGATCTTTGCCACTGATGTTTGGGTGAGGGCAACCCGTGCCTACCTCACATCCGGGAACAATGAGAGGTGCCCGTACAGCGAAATCGGCAAGCTTCCAAGCATCCCGAGAGTTGAACATGAAAACGCTGCACTAGCAATCCTGGCCGAAAAGCCAGAAGTAAACTGAAAACTGGCCCGACAGGCCCCAAACCGTGGTTCGCTTCTAGTTTCTGCACTGCCGAGGTACACCGCTGCCATAAGGCCGCTTGCTGCTGCAGGCTTCGCACCGCCAGAAATAGAAGTTGACTCCTTTGACCTTGGGGCGGGCGAAGAGACTACTGGAACCTCTGAGCTCTTTCAGCTCTGTGCCGAGCGCGAGTACAGCTCTCAACTTCTGTGGCTGACCCGTAGCTTTGATCTAGGAAACCCTTCCCATCCAAAATGACACATGCATGCAACCTGGCCTTGGGTCTGTGTGTTTTTGCAAGAGGCTTGGCACAGCTGGCACTACTGGAACCGCCTGAGATCCTGACAGACCGCTGGCAGCCTGCACAAGCCTTGGTCGTGACGGCTGCATGACTCGGCATGACTGTGACAAAAAGAAGGCAATGGAACAGAGAGCAGCCCTGAGCGGAGAGTGCAGGCGTGCAGTCAGGATGCAAATTTAGCCAGGCCGGACTCCTGCAACAGTTTACGGAACCATGAGATGAGCACGGGGTCTTCAAGACAAAACTTGTGCTTTGAGCACCAGCTTCACCGGATGAAGACTCAAAAGATGGCTCTGAACTTTCGAGCTCCTTCGTCGTACAACCTCAGACAGCCGACAGCAGGAAGCAAAAAGAAAGTGCACCAGACTCCAGGCAAAGTCATGCGCAAGCTTGGCAAAACTGACAGCTTTCAGCCAAGTCTGCGTCTGCTTCACTGACATCCTTGCAGTCAAGGGGCGTCGATAGATCGTGTCACACCTTAGGTCTGTCGTGAGCCGTTCAGCTGTTCCCGCACAGACAAACGCGAAGCAAGCTGTTTCGTCGCGACCTGTTGCGGCCATGGCACCTGCATTTTGCAGCTATTTCCTGCAGCGGGATCCGGTGTGAGCATGGCGGCACTTCATGTTCCGCAGCGTGCGGTACATGCTGACATGAACTGACATGTCGCGTGATGGTAGCGCGCAGCGTGCGAGATCCGTGCAAAATTGGATTCTGCAGTCGGGAATGGGAACTCCATGGAACCACCTCCGACGCTTGATGAAAGGTTGGAACATGTTGCTCAAGCAGATGTGGAGCACCATTTAGATGAAGTGTAGTCCTGGAAACTGCATTCGGAAGAGCCTTGATGCTGAACATCGGAACCCGTCCCAAACATAACTGAATGGAAGTGAAGCCTCGACCCCTCTACGAGCTTTGCCGAGATCGCAAGATGGAACAGCCCGTCGACTTTGGTGGGTTTGGGGGTGAGGCCAAGATGGGTCAGGAGGGCTGCCACGCTACTTGGAACAAAGAGGGTCTCGGAAACCTCTACGTTCGAGCTGTCGTCGAAATCCTAAGTCGAGGCAATTCTGATCACTACTTAGACTAGGTGATTGGAGTACGTACTCACAAGGCGGAAACAACTGCTTCGGTTGCGGGTAGTGTCCCTGTCAGTCTCTTCCAGCTGTTGGCGTGCAACGTGCTTCTTCGCAGGACGGACAGCAGAAAAGGAACACAGACTCGGTCGAAATCGCGCGCGAAATCTGTTTCGGATGTTGATGATTTTGCAAGCTCCCGAGGTGCTCACAAACTATTGGATCCTGTCCTTGCGCTCTGCTTGCTGCAGCCTGTACGTGTAGACGTCGCGGTACAGCAACAACTTAGCTCATGCATGGCAGTCTGGGCTTCTGCTGACGAATTGAAAGTTCATGAAGAGCCTGAGCTCCCGGTCCAATCGCCAATCTGTTCATGCAGGCGGTGGCGACTTGCACCACATGGCGAGCGATACGTCTCAGCCAAGGCACACCGATTCCAGGTATCATGACGAGGGTGAACAGAATCGCACACAAGATGACGACTTCCTGGTGTCAGGTGGAGGCAGCGCACTTATGATACTGCAAAGGCAACACTGAAGGCAACGCGCATCTTCTTGGAAAGACTGCTGCACTGCCATGTTTCACTGCACAGCATCACCCGACAACCGCTTCCAATATACAGAACGCCGACCGCTTATGAAACTAGTCACAAACAAGTGCCAAGTATCGAAGATCTCATCGCCGGTCTCTGGCAGCACCTTCAAGCTCCGCTTCTTTTGCGCCCACTGCTGCTGCTGCTAATAACTACTCTTCCGCCCATATGATTCTGGTCAGAGGCGTTGTAGTACTTCAAAACAACAATAGGACTGCGTGCCAACTGCAAGCTATTCGTCGGTCGCTTCCAAGACCGTCGAGATGAAAAGGAAGCAGGCCAACAAACACACTCATCTTGCTTTGCACTGCAGCTTCCACTTCGACCCACCGGCCTTTAAGCCAGCAGTCGACACCAAAGAGGCCATCTGGCGCGGGAAAGCGCTCCAGCCCCTGAAGCTTGAATTCACGTCTTTATTGCTCGACTCTACACACTTCTTTTTGATCGGGCTTCTCGCTACTTTTCCAGGGCCAAGGGTTCCAGGCTTGCTACGTTTGAACCGCTGAGTTTCGCTTGTGGCTCCCACGCTCTGGTTTGCTTACCATGCATTGCCATGCATGCTGTAGGGCTCTAGACTCTAGGACTCTGGGAATTCTCACAGAAGACCCTTCAGTTTTCTGAATCCGTCCCGAATCCGTGGACCCAAGCCCAAAAGAAAAGCCCAAGCTCCTGGGCTGCAGGCGGGCATCTTCTTGAGCTATGTCGGCAAGGCGAGCCAAAATGCGGATGGCGAGATTCGCAGGGCCCAGGGGGAAGAGGGACAGGAGTTCCATGAGTTCCGAAACCGAGTGACGAAAGAAGCTTTAGAAGCATGGCTGAAGCTGCGACGCCTTCCGCTGCCTCTGGGCACCTGGCGGTCGTGGAGCTCAGCAGCCACCGCCTTCCGCACGGCCCAAGAACTGCACAACCCCCCCCTTTCGTGGTAGCAGCAGGAAAAGGCACAACTGCAATGGAGCTAGCTTTGCCTGATATTGCTATTGACATCCATGGGCGTCCCTGCCTCCACCGTTGCCCACAGCATTTGGGACTCCGTGATGTAACCCTGTCACTCTTCATTCATTACGCTGACGCACATCCGTGAGTCCCTTTCAGAAGTAGCAGAACCAACGTCACAAGTGAACCGATGCAACCAAGCCTTGGTCAACTTGCCGTGTGAGCCACCACCTGGGGCAGAATATTGCTGCCGGTCCAGCAATTCTCCGCTACAGCTGAACCACGCGATATGATGCAGCCTATGCAGTGGTGTTAGCTTGAAAGTTTTATACATCTGTGTCCGCAACGCACTCGGCAAGGAAGTCCCGTGTCGACTCGTGTCAAGCTTACCAACGATGTTCGTGAAAGTTACATGCGAAATCATCGAGCACCGGGCCAAGGTATTCCAACACCAAGGCTTCGGACAAAGCAGCCTTGTCAGATCTTGCCGGGCTTTTGCAATTCAGGCTCCTCGAATCTTCCAACACGATCTGCCAACACGGTGTCCCAGGTCCCAGTTCTATTTAGGCTGCATAGTGGCCCACTCCGCATGTGCTTCGAGATGAGTTCAGAATGCTCCTAGTTTGTTACGGTCCCGTTCTCATGTCCTTCGGGTTCTAGGGAGCCCAAAATATCGCTGGTGCTGAAAGGAGAATGCCAGCAGCCAGCTGCTTAGGAGTGTGAGGGCTGTGCTGCATCTTGTTGAAACGGTTGAAGTCTGTCGATGACATGTTAACTCAGCTCGGGTTTAACATTGCATAAATACGATCCTAGCATTCACCAGTAACGATTCTATCGGGCCGCCCTGCAAGACGCTACCGAGGTTGTTCAAGGTCGTTGGACGGCCAGGGCCATGGCCCGTAAAGTGTGCGTTCAATTGCTTTCGTGTGGGATCTGTCTCCGGAAAACTCTTCGTGTGCTTGTGCCGAGTGCTTATTGCTCCACTTCTTGGCCTTCCTGTGCTTGCACTGGCTTTGTGTGGCAGGATCCCATCCAGCCCAGCCGAAACCGCTGGCCTGAGTTCCAAGGGCGGCTGGGGGGCAAAGCTTGGACCTGACAAAGGCGACAGGATCCGATGTTCTTCTGGAGGATGCAGAACGCGAGGGGACTGGCCTCCATATGGCGTCGTCGATACCCAAGATCTGAGCCTTTGGGGCCGTGCCAACTAGAGCTGGCTGCTATCCCATCATCTATATCACCAAGCGGAATTTGCGGCAGATGGGCTGAGATGTCAGACACGCAGGGCTTCAAGAGCAGCCAAGTGCAGCAGACCTGCTGAGCATCCCGCATCTCGAAGCGCATCCCGGAACTCGTCGCAAGTTACTGTGCCCTCAGTTGCTCTAAGGGAACTGCTCCGGACTCAGTTGCCAGTGGCGCTAGGGACTTCTGGAGATGAGGAGAACAAAGCTCACCTCTAGCATTGAAAACTCCAGCATGATCGCCTCAAGCACTGTCTGGAGCACCCTTGTGCTCCCATGGCACAGCCGCAGGCGAACAGCATCCATCCTCTCCCTTTCTCTCCTCTCTTGCTTTCATGGCGTATAGGGGTGGTCCACACCCCTCCAAATTGTTACGCCTCGTTCCTCTCCGTCGCGAAGCAATGCTCAGCCGAGTCCCCCATTCTTTGCATCTTCAAGGGCTCAGCTGGACTGCTCCGGCAGAGCGTCCACACAAGAGTGATTACAGGCACCTCATGTGGAGGAGATAACCCCAGAGCTTCAGGACAAAGTTCAACCCTGACCCGAGAAACGGGTTCTGCGGACAAGCACACAAGGCAAACTAAGTCACCTCCGACGCACATTTGCCGAGGCAGTTGCAAGCAGGACTTCTGATCTTGTTGGCTTCTGTTTGTGTCTTTCGCTCTCGCTCACTCTCTCTCTCTCTGCATGTCTCTCTCTCCCTCTCCCTTCTATCGCGGGAAAGGCCACACAGTCCAACCCGCACATCCAGCGCGAACTCGCCCGCGTCAGGACAAGAGTGAAAGGAGCTTTCGCGGCCTCTTGACAGGAGGGCCCAGCCCCTGTAGGGTTTCGGGTGACATGCCCATTCGGTTGAAGCCGTGATCGGTATCTGCATGCACCGGAAGGATGGAAGCAAAAAGATGCAGGTTAGACTCGTTGACGGACCGGTTTCGGTCTGGTAGCCACGGGGGGCACTTTGAACTTCGCATTTTCCTGGTTCTTGCTCCCCTAAAGTCTCTCCATGGAGCTATCGGAGAAAAAACTTTCAACTGGTAAAGGATACATGACAGGCGATGGGAACCACCAAAATCGCAATTTCCAGCTTTAGGCTTGCAACCTACGTTGAAGCAGGATCGAGCACAGTGGAGTTATGCCTCGCAAGGATAGCTCTGAGAAGCTTGGGGCTCTCGTTATCTCTGTCCTCTCTGCAAATCCATCTCTGAGCAAAATCCCGCACTGCCCAAGAGCCAGGCACGATTCTCGACTCTGGCAATCTGGGCACAGACGCAGACACTGATTGCTGTTCTCGTGGGTTCTGAGCATGTGGATCAGCGATATCGTGGCAACATAGAAATGCCTACAGTACCACACACTTCACTTCATGACTTAGAGCAATCGGTCCGGAAGACTGTCCGAGCACCTTTCACTGCCCACTTGTTGTGAAGAACTTTGGCAGAACTCACATCAACAAGGTCAAAAGCGATCTTGCATCCCGTGCACGAGTCACAATACTGCTCAGTTTCCAGCGGGTTGTGTGACGGGGGGGGAACTTTTCATGCGTGTAGGCCGCCCGGCCAGATTTCTCATTTTCGAAGCTGACTCGCGGCGAAGGCGATCGTGGACGATCCTGGCTTGTTTGTGCAGCAAAGTTAGCAGGGGTCGTGCAGGTTTCAAGCAACAGCCAGGGCCACAGCAGCAAGAAGAAGAAGTCGTTCATGTCCGCCTGGGGATGCCTTGCACATGGCCCATGCCAGGACAGTAACAGCAGGTGCTCATGACTTAGCACCGACTATCGGCAATATCATCCCGCAAAGCCCTGAGGACACGGTTGAAGCCGACAGCGGAGATGCAGCATTCGCATGTAGGTGGTTCAAGCCGCGTCTGGCCTGGAATCCTCGGGGAAGGTTGCAAACCTTATGCCGGACACAAGAGAAAGTTTGAGCCTCATAGTGCATCGAGTGACCGCATGTACAACTGAAATAAAGCTCGCTGGGGAAGAGTCTGGATCAACTGACTGGATGGCGGCTATTCAAAGAAACAGGACGAAGTGCGGTCAAGCGTCTTCATCAAGCACACCTCATTCTAAAGATCTGCGGTGCTTGATGCTCCGGAAAAACGGGCTGAGGCTAGCTTGATATGTATGACGATGTATGAGCTTCGAACACAGCTCGACAATTCCTGCAGTTTATCGCCGTACGCAGGCCCCCAAAATCTTGCAACTTCAGCATCTCAGAGGCAGGGAAGGGTTAGGACACAAATGTGGCCACATTGTTGAGGGCCCTGCGAAAAGCTCTCGTCTCGAAATGACCGTCCCGCCGAAGGGCAAAGCCTCCATGCAGAACCGAACTGCCCACTTGCGCGCAGTCATCATCGCACCACCGTGCTCCTGTTCAGTTCTATCTTTGCAAGCTTCCTGGACCGGAACATAGGCCAGCCAAGAACAGCGAGGTGCTTCACAGAAGATGCGGCTGAACACCAGCTTGGAGATATCATGACTCAGCCTTTTTTGCGAGCAGGTGCTGGGACCTGCATCTTGTTCATGACTTTTGCAGACCGAGTTCCCGTGTAAATGCACTCCAAGAACTCTCGTCGAACAGGCAAACATAGAATCTTGACGAATGTGAATTGTAGAGTGCAGCCACCCGCATCACCGATGCCTTCGTAGCGGAATCCCAGGCGTTTGGGATGGTCTGGCAGCAGCAAGAAAGTCGCTCCCATCTAGGAGTCTATACTCGCAAACCTTCAACAGATCGAGACGTTGGCCGTAAGGCATTGAGACCCCAGTGATGTAGGCTTGCAGCACAATGCAGCTCACGCACAAACCTGCTCTACACCGTACGACAAGCTCCAAGAGCTTGGAAGGTGCAGTACCCAATTCGAGGAGCAGGCTAGGTGCACTTCGGAATCGTCGTTCTTGGCCTCGCAGACATGTGCTGGCCGAGTCAATCTTGCTGAGGACTGGCTGCAAAGCTGCGTGAAGCGAGGTCCAGAAAGGCTAGGCTGCGCATGGCTGCGCTGGGCGAACTCTGGCAAGGTATTGTGAGACGTTGCGTGACATCCACCACGGAGCCAGAAGGCCGTGCCTGAACGCTGTGGCCGAAACGGCCGGCGCGCGGACTCGGCGACCTGTCAAAGCTGGATGCGAGAGCAAACATGAGCAAGCTTTCCAATCTCGTTCGACTTGTCCGCTCCTGGTTCTCACATTCTCCCCTTTGTCAACTGGTGAATCTTTCGAGCAGCGTGCTCATGTTTCTCAAATGTTCAACCACCCCCCTCTTTCTCAACAGCCACCCTGTTTGTCAACCTTTCCAGTCTCTTTCGACTGGTTTGCGTGTTCTCTCTCGGAGTGGTCTCTTTGTCAAACTCTCAGGTCTCTGCGGAACCGTTTGTTTGCATTGATCAATTCTCCCTTCAAGTTCTCTTGTCTCTTTCGGGCGATGTGATCCACACCTTTCGGTGGCTTGCTCTTCGTTCGCAAGTTCTGCTTTTCTTCACAATCTCTTGACTCTTTCGAGCGGTTTGCTACTGGGCTCCTGAGTCTAAAACTTTCTGTCCCTTCCGTCGTCTGAATTGGTCCTCCTTCTCAAAGCCTCTTTCCTGTCAAATTATCCCGTCTGTTTCGAGCGAAATTTTGTCCGGCTGCTCACATAGGTCATCCCTTTCGACTTGTCGGCTCGCGTTGCGCGAAGTCTCCTCTTTGTGAAACCCCGCAGCCTGTTTCGAGCAGTTTGCTCCTCCTTCTCAACTTACAGCATGTTGTGTCAAGTCTAAGAGCCGTGTTGTTCAAATTCGTTTCTTTGTCAAACTCTCGAATCTCTTGCGAGCGGTTTGCTCCTCTCTCTCTCTCAGACTTTCTAGCCATTTCGCCTGGTTTGCTCGTCTTTCTCAAACTCTCCTCTTTGTCAAACTTTCTAGCCTCTCTCGAGAGGTCTGCTCTTGTTCTCTCTAGTCCATTATTCAATGGCTTGCAACTATGCACGAGATGTCCTTTTCATCAAATCCTCGATCCTCTTTCAAGCGGTGTGCTCCTGCTTTTCGAAGTTTATCGTTAACTTCGATGGGTTTGTTTTTTTTCTCGCCTGCATCAAATCATCAGTCCCTTTCGAGCAGTTCGCTTTCTCGAAGTTCCATCTTTTCACATTTCAAAAAATCTATTTCGAGCGTCTCGAAGCTGCTTCTCAAACCTTCTGGTCTAAACCCTTTTCAACTGGTTTGCTCCTCCTTCTCAAGAGAACTCCTTCCTGCCAAAGTATCTAAGATCTCTTTTGGGCTCCCCAAGTTTCGGGCTTGCACTCCTGTGCCTAGGTTCCCGTCTCTCGTTCGAGAAAGCTTTGCTTCTGTTTCTCAGCTTTCTGAAGACCTCCTTTTCCAAACGACTGTGTCTCTTTCGAGTCGAGCGGCATCTGTTTCTCACAGTGTCTTGCCCCTGTTCGACTGCTTTATTCTCTTTCGACCGGTTTGTTACTCTTCGTTTCGACTGGCCTGCTCCTCTTCCTCAGAGATTGTTTTGTCAAAACCTCTCTGGTTGTTTCCCGTCTCTCGAACATTCTAGTCTCTTTCGGTTGGCTTGTTCTGTCATTTTTTGTGATCTTTTGCGGGCGGCTTGCTTCTGAAACTCTGTACTTAGTTTCTTGGCTTGTTTCGATGCCTCTGTCTCGGTTTGCACCTTTTAGCTTTTTTGAGCAAGAGGTCTTGTTTCTGTTCATGCCTCGCCACCTTTATGGCTTGCGCCTGTTTCTCCCATGTTCTTCCTGCCTCAAATTCGCTAGACTCTAACTTTTTCTGGCGGTTTCCTCCTGTTTTTCGACGTTTCGAGTCCTCTTCGATGGGCTTGTACATTCTCTGATCCCTTTCTGGTTCTCAAGTCTTGTAGTCCCTTTCGACCCTGCTCATTTATCTTTCTCTTGAACTCTCCAGTTTGTCAACTGCAATAGTCTTCTTCAAGCGATGTGCTCCTTTATTCTTATAGTTTTTTTCTGTTTTTTTCCATCCTGCTTCTCAAGTTTCTATTCCCATGAGCGGTTAACTAATTCCAACTGACCACGGTATCCTCTTATTTTGACCACAGCCTAATGGTGGATCTCATGATTTCGTTAATATTTTGTCCTTTTGCTTTGGTTAATAATGAAACAAGGTGAAAGCGAGAATTAACCAAAAGCAAAGGGAACAAAATAATCACGAAATAAGCCACAGAACAATAAGAAAAAGGTGAAGGGAATAGACCGTACATTCCCGCCCTTAGGATACAACTAAATATAACTAAGAGAGGTTCTTGTTTAATTTAATTATAAGCGAAAGAAAGTAATGAAAGAGCGCATGAATTGATTAAACAAGAGCCGAACGAACCAACCGCTGGCTTCTTTCCAACCACTCAGTTAACCGCTGCGCTGCGCTTTCTCAAAGTCGCCTCTGTCTCGGTTCGTGCGGTTAGCTTAGTCTTCCAATCTTGTCAACGGCAACTGGCACACACACACACATATTTGTCTGAAATTATCCTCTTCGTTTCTGTCTTTCGAGCGGCTTGCTCCTGCCTCGCAAAATGCTAGCCATGTTCCACTGGTGTCCATATATTTCTCAAGGTCTGCTCTTTGGGTTTGCTACCATCTCCAAAGCTTTTAAACAATCTAGTAGTTCCTCTTTGGGAAACTGCACAGTACGAAACGCAGCACCAGCGAGCGTGGCGGACGCTACTGCGCCGACTGGCTTGCTTTTCGTTCTCGCATATTCTCCTCTGATTTGACGATGCTCAACATATTCAAGTCCCGTTCAAATGGTTTGCAACTCGCTCTCAAGTCAAAGGTTCTAGTCACTTGTCTCTTTCGAGTGGTTTGTTCGTGTTTCTCGAAGTGTCTCGTCCCTTTCGGGTTAACTCTTCCTTCTCATACTTTCCGTGTTCTCAAAACCTCGTTTTGGAGCAGTTTGCTCCCGTCCCTGGAACTGTTTAGCCTCTTTCGAATAGTTTTTGTTCAAACCTTCTAGTCCTATTTTCTCAAAGGCATCTTTCGAGTGTTTTCTGCTTTCTTCTCAAAGCTCTCTTCTCTCTCGAACTCAGTAGTTTGTGCAGCCCCTTCGACTGCTTTTCTCCTCTTTGTCAACATCTCCCTTTGTCACCACCTCCTGTCTCTCTGAAAGGATTCAGGTTTGCTCCGGGGTCTACAAATTTCTTATTCCCTTTTGGCATCCTTGTCAAATTCTCTGCATCGCCAAGACGAGAGCTTCGTCGAAGTGACCTTTTGGATCATACAGAGGATGCGGAATACCGAAAGTGCATTTTGCTTGGCCTGGCTAGCGGAGGAATTGATCAACCGCCTCCCCCAAAATATGCTACTTACATGGACTTTGGCGAAGGAGTCTGTTGGGGGAAAACGGTTTTGGAAGGTGCTCAAGACCAATATGCCCGAATACGAGGAACTGTCGTTCTGCCACCTCTGTCCCGATCGGTTTGCTCATGGTTCGACTGGTTTGCTCTTTGTCAAACTGTCCCCCCTGTCAATGTCTCTAGTTTCTTTCTCGCGGTTTGCTCGCCACATGAAGAGAGACAAGCGTCGAATGTCCATCTCAAACGAAGGTGGACGAGAAAAAAGCAATCGCTGAAACAAAGGGAGACAAGACCAGGGGAGACAAGCTTCCAAAAATCTCGGCATCAGCCACCCACCCACAGCGCGAAACCTCTGCATTCCCTACCGACTTAACAAACCCCTAAAGTAACCTGTTTTA